CGATAAAGATATTTTATCCTGCACGTTCTCGTATGTCGTTTGGGGAGTGTGCGGGTATATATAGACGCGCAGGGGAGGGGGGAGGGGGTTCCATTATCGTCTCGTCTCGTCCGATATAAATAGGGGAATTCTGCTCCATACCCCCGTTCCCTTTTGTTGACTTACGATACTGCCCCTTGCCTCAGTCTCATCCTCCCGGCCCTCTCGGTCCTCTCGCGATAGCCCCGCCCCGGCCGCCCCCCAAATCGGAAGCCGCGCAGCCCCCGGATCTCCGCCGCCGGCCGCCCCGCCGAGCCGCCTCGAGCCCTCCGCCGGCCCCGCTCTGCTCGCCCCGCGCGGGGCGGAGCGGAGGAGATCCGAGCCGGGGAGGTTCCTTCCGCCGGTAAAGCCCTAGCCCGCCTGGATCGATCTCGCTTTTGATCTGTTTTTTTTCTTCCCGTCGTATGTTGTTTCCGCCGCGGCTGGGCTGTGAGCGATCGTGAACTGAACATGGAGTCCGAATCTTATTCTGCAGTGGGGGGTCCTGCGCCCCCGCAGGCTAGGTTTACGGCCAGGTTGCATCCGCCCCGCCTGGGTGGGTGAGGAGTCGGGGACGCGGGGATGTCTTCTCTCAGCCGGGAGCTCGTCTTCCTCATCCTGCAGTTCCTCGATGAGGAGAAGTTCAAGGAGACCGTCCACAAGTGAGTGATTCAAACCCCCACCCCAAAAAAGTCAAAAGTTGGTGTTGTTCGTTTGTCTAGCGTGCTCACTTGGAGCCCTTGTCCCTGTGTAGGCTTGAGCAGGAGTCTGGCTTCTACTTCAACATGAAGTACTTCGAGGATGAGGTGATCAATGGCAATTGGGATGAGGTGGAGCGCTACCTCGGGGGCTTCACCAAAGTCGACGACAACCGCTACTCGATGAAGATATTCTTTGAGATCCGCAAGCAGAAGTATCTCGAGGCCCTCGACAAGTAAGTGCAGGGGTAAGAGGTGTATGTAGAATTGTAAATGCTGGACTGAATTGATGACTGATTATCTGTTCCTTTTCTGTCAGGCATGATCGGTCCAAGGCGGTTGAAATCTTGGTCAAGGACTTGAAGGTGTTTGCATCCTTTAATGAGGAGCTGTTTAAGGAGATCACACAGCTATTGACTCTGGAGAACTTCAGGTAAAATCTGC